AGTAATACAATAATGACAACAAAGATTGATATTTGTTGGTTGACTGACACTGCATTGAGTGAGGATCTACTAGTGCCTTTTAGTGCTTTACAAATTCGAAATAGCATGTTGCTTGAATGAATGATGTTCTCTTTCTTCAGATGGTAAAATGATGCCATCTGATAGATTATAAATTAATCAGCCTTAGTGTTTTAGTCCTGCAAAACGGGCAATCATCAAAGCATGAAGCATCATTTTGGGCAAAATGTATTAGCAAGAGTTTCTCATTCAAATATGTGGGCTTTAATTCCTGTTGTAAACTGCAAATGCACGGGATTGCAAGATAATGCAGTAATACTCTTGAATAACCACGCCAAAAGCGAAAGATTGTTTTGATCTCTTAATACGAGAACTAACGAAAGCATAATGATATAGGTTAGGGCTAACAGGGCTGTTTATATCCTTGAAATATTCATGTTCTGAACGGAGGAATTGCTATGCACTGTTAAAATGAAATTTTTTTATCAAAATTGTTTTTCCTCAGAATGTACATCTAAGATGGACGAATGATATGACCTTGCATAGTGAATCATACAAATATTAACATAAGTGACATCATACTCTCCACTACGACTGTCAAATCTGACACAGGAAATTTGCCTAGTTTTGGTTCATGTCATCGTATCTCTGAACCAAAGATGACCCTTGCTGATGACATTTTCTAAACACTTTAGAATACACTACCTTTGGTGTGTCCGACCTTTGGCGACATTTTGCCCACTTGGTCATTGTAGAAGAAGTAAAAGACGTCGTTCGAATATTCGTGTTTATAAACCTGACTGAGAGTGTGAGCGAGACTGTTGTCCGTGAACGACAGACTCTTTCCGCTGAATCTCCATTCATGGTCTTTAGAGTCCATGTACAGGTATGCGGTGCCATTTCGTACCGTGTTGTATTGGCTACCTTGTTGCTGCGGAAGCTTGTACACGATGTACCTAAACCACACATTGTTTGAGAAGATGGAGTTAGAAAAGTCAGTGTAAATATTTTTGTCGTACTTCCCCTCCCGTTTCGTACCGATATGACTGGACATGTTTTGGCAAGAACCCTGTGCTGTCTGAAGGCTTCGTTGCCGATTCGAATCATTAGAGGTATAAGAGATTCGTTTATCCCTAAAGTGGTACGACATGTCTTCAGATTCTTATGCCAACCTCAGCAGAAGCAAATTTGTTAGTATTAATTTAAATGATTTTCGAAACTTTTGCCTCTGCCGAGCTGCATATAATTTACAAGTTACCATCTTGTCTGATTCTGTGGTTGGCGATCAAAGAAATAAGTATGCGAGGCTGCTCATTTTAAGGCCTTGTGCACACCTAACTAAGACTATGATCATTTTAAAATGCTCGGTACTGGATATGTC